TATATTATATTATAATATAATATATTATATTATATTATATTATATTTATATTATATTATATTATATTATATTATATTATATTATATTATATTATATTATATTATATTTATATTATATTATATTATATTATATTATATTATACTATATTATATTATATTATATTATATTAATATTATATTATTATAGTATAGTATAGTACAGTACAGTACAGTACAGTATAGTATAGTATAGTATATTGTATTATATTATATTATATTATATTAAAATATTGTATTATATTATATTATATTGTATTGTACATATGCATAAATAAGTAAGTATGTATGTATAATATATAGATATATATATATAGGTATATGTATACATGTATGCACATAGTATGTGCACTTATGATTCTTAGTGGGCCCTTAGCTCTGCATGTTAATTTCGAGCACTCTTGGTACGGCGTGTGCCGGGCATCGAAACGGTTTAAGGTTTAGGCCACCAGGGCTACTAAGGGATTACAGCCAGGATGAAAGTTGACGGGTTGAGGGTCCAGGGGTTGGGGTTTAGGGTTGAGGGTTCAGGAAGCCTCCAAAACTTCGAAATCGCTTCTTTGGTGGTATCATTCGCATAAAGTTCTGCTTTGCAGGGGCTATGTTGTAGCCCTTGGTTTTCTGAAGCTCTTAAATAGCATAGCATCCTGATGAAGTGGAGTACTGCTTGGGGGCTAAATGATTTTCAAGTTTTCAGAGCGTCTACGGGTTGCGAGTCCCAACGGGGAAGCTAGAAGTTGGAACTTTAGGGTTTAGGGTCTAGGGTTTAAGGCTATCGCGGTGCCAGCTGCAAAAGTTTTGAGACTCCGGCGTTCACGGCGCCGCCTCCCGGGTGGGGTTCTCGTGGTCTTTAGGTATGGGGCTTGGGGTTCTATATAAGGGCCCCTAACCCCCCAAACCCTAAACCCCTAAACCCCTAAAACCCCTAAACCCTGAGCCCTAAACCCCTGAACCCCAAACCCTAAACCCCAAACCTTCGGGATTTCTCAAGCGCAGCTGTCCTCTGCAGCGAGGGGTTGGGAGCTTTAATGTCGCAAAGGCGGCAAAGGTTGGCAATGTGGGGTTCCTTTAAAGGGATCTATCAGGGTTCCTTTAAGGGTCCCTTTAAAGGGATCTATCAGGGTTCCTTTAAGGGTTCCGTTAAAGGGATCTGTGAGGGATCTATAAGGATTTTGGGTTCTAATGTGGGGTTACCGGATTCAAGCTTCAGTTCATTAGGGCTTTAGGGCTTTCGGGCTTTGGGGTTTAGGGTGTAGGGTTCAGGGTTTAGAGTGTAGGGTTCAGGGTTTAGGGTTCAGGGTTTAGGGTTCAGGATCTTGGGCTTAGGGTTCAGGGTTTAGGGTTAAGGCTTCGAAGGGCTTTGGAGTTGAGGGTTTAGGTTCAGGGACACATCCTTCTTCAGAGTGGGCTGCTGGGAGAAACGAGAAGACTTGGAGGAAGACGCTCAAGGCCCGGGTTTAAGGTCCAGAGTGCCGTGGATACTTTCCAAGGGACTTCCCTGCTAGAATGAAGGAGTATCCTGGGTCGGACAAAGTGGTAACCACATCTCCCTATAGTCATACTACACCTCTACCATAAGGTCTCCCACACCCTGTTCAAATTACTAAACCCTACAACCACCCTAGATACCAAGGCCCTTGATGTAAAAACCTTATATACCTCATGTTCTGAAGGCCCCTGTGTTACATGGATAGTTCTCTAAATTAGGGTCCCTTTTCAAGTCCCCAAAATCGTACGGCACGCTTTCTAAAACGGACCATAACACGGACCGTAATCTAGAGAACTACCCACGTGATAGAGGGGAGCTGAGCGTCAAGCAAGGGTTCGTTTCAGGGTTCGTTTACAGGATTTTCCTATACGGAGCTCTCGAGGGTTTAGGGTTTATAGGATTTGGGATTTAGGGATAGGGTTTAGGGTTTAGGGTTGAGTTAAGGCTCTAGGGTTAAGTTTAGGGTCTGGATCCATGCCCCAAGCCCTAAACATTTCTGAACCCTCCCTTCTGTCGAAGAACGAAGAATACAGCTGTTGTCACTCGCCCTAACATGGCTGAAAATGGAGGGCTGATCCCAAAAAGAATTAAGATGAGAACGTACCGGGGTCCTGCATGGCACCCGCTCAACAGACCACATGCAGGGCTCACCGGGGGCCTGCATCGCCTTCTCGAACTCTTCACGAGAGACCACTCCATCATTGTTGACATCCATGCGGCTGAAGAGATCCTTGAAGAGTCTCCCCTAAACCCTAAACCCGAAACCCTAAATCCTAAACCTGAAACCCTAAACCCTAAACCCTAAACCCTAAATCCTAAATCCTAAACCCTAAACCCTGAACTCTGGACCCGAAACCCTAAACCCGAAACCCGAAATCCTAAATCCTAAACCCTAAACCCTGGACCCGAAACCCTAAACCCTAAACCTAAACCCGAAACCCTGGACCCGAAACCCGAAACGCGAAAACCTAAACCTAAACCCTAAACCCTCTCAAGTGTGGCCGAGAGTTTCAGAGTTTCCGGGGTTCCTCGGGTTGCCCTAAGCCTTTGGGTTCAAGGCTTTCCAGGGCTTTAAGTTCAGAGCTGAGGTCGACGAAAGTTGGGAATGTTCGAAACTAAGGGGGTTTAAGGTTTAGGGTTTGGGGGTTTAGGGTTTAGGGTTATTTTGGGGTCCCTTTAATAATAAGGATCCTACAATTTGGGGTACTATATGAGGGTCCCCCTATTTTCGGAAGCCCCCATTTGGGGTCTTTTACCATGCTCCCCGGCTTTAAGCGGATAACGGGGTTTCGGGTTTAGGATAACCGGTTTTCGGGCTTAGGAGTTAGGGACAGGGTTTCGGGTTTAGGACCTAGAGTTTTCAGGGTTTTCTGAAACTTTTTCGGATCCAGAGCAGCCTGTAGCTGCTTCTTTCACAACCTCCCACCAACCAAACTTCGGCCTTTCCGGAGACTCCTTCCCATCATAAGAAGCACCCCTCAATGTGAGTCCCAGCTCCCAGCTCCTTGCAGAACCCTTCTAGGATCCTCATAGAGCCCATCTCATCCCTCGACCCTAGACTGTTCTAGAAGTCGGTAAGATCGAAAGCGTGAAGAGTGCTGGGCTGCGCGCGGGGATTAAAGGATCATGACAGGGGTGTGGGTCGAGGGTTCAGCGTTGAGGGGTTAGGAGGGTCTCGGTATAGGAGGGTCTCGGTTTAGGAGGGTCTCGGTTTGGGGGGTTTCGAGCTGAGGCTAGAGAGTTCAGTGTCTGGGGTTCAGTCTGCAGGATGCAATTGGGTTCAGATTCAACTTGACTAGGGTTGCTTGAGCCTCCAAGCAGGGTCTGAACTTCAAGTGCTGGCCTGGAGGTTGTGCATTCTGTGCATCATACCATATAGAGTTTAGGGTTTAAAGGTCTAGCATAAGGTCTAGGACAGGAGTCTGAAGCCACCTGGTAAAGCCTGCCTTTAGCAACTACTGTCTTCGTTTAATGTCCGTACTACGTCAACAAGCTTATAAGATCTGATAAGTCTGCAAGAAGGAGATATGTGTACATGCATATGTGGGTGTATACATATATATATATATATGTATATATATATATGTATGTATGTATGTATGTATGTATGTATGTATGTATGTATGTATGTATCTACAATCTGTATATATATATACATACATACACACATACATATCGAGTACCTTCCACGCTCGCTATCATAATCATATGTCACAAAACCTAGAGCCCTGAAGCCTAAACCCTGCTGGAGCTTGAGGCCCGCACTCCGCCAGCGACAGTGGTTGTTGCGATCGGAGCGGCCGCTTGGGGAGCGTAGGTATAAGTGTATGGCTGGCTGCCGACGGTGGGCACGAAGGTAGGTGCGGCCGCAGCTGTAGTGTACGTGTACTGAGGCGCCGCGGTGTAGGTCGGATAGGCATAGGTCTGGGCAGGCTGCGCTGTGTAAGTCTGGGCCGGCTGCGCTGTGTAAGTGTACGTCGGATAGGACACAGGCTGCGAAGAATAGACTACGCCACTGGTCTGGATCGGTGCAGCAGCGGCGGCAGCAGCCGAGGATGTCATTGGAGGCGCTGCCTGGGATGAACCCTGCACAGGGGCATAGGTGATTGGAGCGGCAGCTTGGGATGAGCCTTGCACCGGGGCATAGGTGACCGTGGATGGGATTTCCATGCTGGCCGGGGCGGCATACACAGCTGGCATCTCTGTGGCAGGAGAGGCAAACGAGGCCGGTGCAGCATACACCGGGGGCATCTCGGGGGCTGCCGCCGGTGCTGCATAAATGGCTGGTGCAGCTGGTGCGGTCACAGGCGTCGGTTCAGCGGCCGGGGCAGCATAGGTCATGGGCTGTTGCTCAGGGGCTGCATAGATAGCAGCGGGTGCGCTAGCTGGAAGGGTGGCAGCCGGTGCAGCGTAGGTCATTGGCTGCTGCTCGGGCGCTGCGTAAATTGCCGGTGTGCTCATCACCGTGCTCAGCTCTGCAGCGGGAGCAGCATAGGTCATGGGCTGCTGCTCAGGAGCTGCATAAATCGCCGGTGCAGGAGCCGGTGTCATTTCGGCTGCCGGTGTGGCATAGGTCATCGGCTGCTGCTCTGGGGCGGCATAAATCGCAGGTGCGGGGGCCGGGGTGGGTGCTGCAGCCGGTGCAGCATAGGTCATGGGCTGCTGCTCAGGGGCAGCATAGATGGCGGGCATGGGAGCCGGGGTCGGCGCCTCGGCAGGGGCAGCATAGATCATAGGCTGCTGCGGTTGCTGCTCGGGAGCTGCATACACTGCCGAAGAGCTGGCACCCATCGTCACAGGGGGTAGGGTGTAGGTCACTGGCTGTGGCGAGTAGTTCACCGAGGATCCCTGCGGCACAAGGGCTGCAGCAGGCGATGTCACCGTGTAGGTGACAGGCTGGGGCTGGGAATAGTGCACAGAAGAACCCGTTCCTGTGGTTGCTGGTGCCGTCTCTGAGGTAGCCGCCTGCACCTTGCCGGTTTAGGGTTTAATTGGGGTTCTGCGCAACGTAATAGACATGTGGACACGAATTCAGAACTTAGTTCGAGAGTCATCGTCTTCCCTGCATAAAGACATTGCAACGTCGGACTAAACACGTCTTCGGTTCGTCTGCAAGCAGACTGACCAGCATATCATATCCAGCCAGGTACAGCGTGCATAGAAAGATAGAACAATATTTCTTCATGCGCTGCTTGTAAGTCACGACTGTTGGACGGAGACAGCACTTTTAGGATTGATGGCTTAGCGTGAAGAGCACCAGAACAAGGCGTCCATGACCGCACTGCAGCTTAGGTCGCCGCCAGGCTCCGACCCGTTGGCACAATAGTCCACTTTCGATGCTGAACCCCAACCCCGACATCAACACAAAACCGTGTACTGCGCTAGCCTTTAGATCACTGATGCCCCCGGCTGCTTCCACAATGCTAAAGCTTCCGACATCACAAAGCCTAAGGCCTGCACCACGGTCGTGATCGGCGCAGCACTGGTAATTGGAGCTGCCGTCGTGTACGTGACTGGGGCTGGGGTCGTGTACGCAACCGGCGCAGCGCTTGTGTATGTGACGGGGGCCGGGCTCGAAGAAGTGTATGTGACCGGTGCGGCGCTGGTCACCGGGGCCGAAGTGTACGTAACCGGAGCCCCGCTTGCCATCGAAGCTCCATAGGTGATGGGAGCTCCGGTGGTGTATGTCACCGCTCCGGTCGTGGTCGGCTGGCCGCCGGCATAGGTCACCGGTCCCACGCTGACCTGGACAAGCCCATCCACAGGCTCTGAGGATTGCTTCACCGCTTGCCCCGTAATAGTAATAATTACAATAGTATTAATAATAGTATTAGTAGAGTAGTAGTAGTAGTAGTAGTAGTAGTAACAGTAGTAGTAGTAGTAGTAGTAGTAGTAGCAGTAGGAGGAGTAGTAGCAGCAGTAGTGGTAGTGGTAGTAGTAGCAGCAGCAGCACTAGCAAGTAGTAAGTGGTAAGTAGTAAGTAGTAAGTAGTAAGTAGCAAGTAGCAAGTAGCAAGTAGCAAGTAGTAAGTAAGTAGTACGTAGTACGTAGTAAGTAGTATGTAGTAAGTAGTAAGTAGTAAGTAG